AGACGGGAAGCAAAGCCGCGGAGCACGCCCGCAGGGGGACAGCTCAAGCGCGCCCGGGCTGTCCCGCTGCGGGCGTGCTCCAAGGCTTTGCTCCCCGTCTCCCTGCAGGCCAGGGAGACGGGGAGCAGCTTTTCTCGCCCCGGAGGACGGGGGCGGCGGACCGCGGCGCATCTGGGCGTCCCCCCGCTCCCGTCCTCCGGGGAGAGAAAAGCCCCGTTCGTAACTGCGGTCCGCGTAACTCGGGGACTGCCTGTATTCATGTGCAAGGCTATAGGACCGCACAATTTTTGAATGGCTCTTTTCACAAAAATCAATTATCTGCTCTTTTTTCAGTAAGATTTATGAGATTTTGTCTCTGTTGGAAATATGTCCTAACAGAACCAGTTCATTCTTTCAGAACATATACTTTAATAAGTCTAATTTTTTTCTGATAGTTGGCCCTGCCCATTCATGATAATCACAAGACTACTAAAAAGCGAGTACTATCCAGAAAGCATGAATTTTTGCAATCAATGTAACATTTCTCAAAACCAGAAGTCTGTTAATTTTCTCTCAATAAAAACTCAATTTTATAAAAATAAACATAATACTCTTCTAGCTACACATACAATATTTATCCATGAAAGCTTGGAATTGTTGGAGTAAAATGTTTCAAACAAATCAGTCCTTAATTATTTTTAAAAAATCTAAGTCTAAAGTACTTCTGCCCATATTATCACACCTGTAAAAAACAAAACAAAACAAACAAAACAAAACAAAAAACTATTAAGGGTTACTAAATGTGTTATATTCTTATTTTTTGTCCTGACCCTCCTCACCTCATCCCTACCGCTTTTTTTTGTTGGTAGCCACAATTAAAAATCACCGTTCTCTTTGCATATTATTTTATCAGATTTGCATATAAAAAAAACAGAAATAACTGACACTGCCTGTTTAAGAAAACGAGGTGAAAAAAATTATGAGAAATGGGAGTATGCTCAAATGAAACAAAAATGCAAAAAAGCAAAATGCAAAACTCTGCTTCAGGGAGCTAGAGAACTCGTAGCAATATTTGGTAGTGGCTACCAGGAACTATTGCTGAGCAGACAGACAAATTCAGGAGGGATCTAGATGGGGCAGGAAAGAAATAAGAGAAAGAACAGCAAGACGAGAGGAACTGTGAGCCTGATGTTGGCAGTGTTACCACAGTTTTCAAAAACAGCCATTGCTGCAATTTTTGGGTGCTCAGTATTAGGGATGTTAAATTTAGATTAACTGGCTAATTGGATAGTTAATGCAATTTGCATCGACTATTTGATTAGTCGATAAGGGAGCCTCCACCTTTGAAGTGCAGCAACAGCCCCATACCTGTTGCTACACTTGAAAGGCAAAAGTGCTGCAAGGAGCCTGGGATCAGCCAGCAGATCCTGGGCTCCATATGGCATTTCTTTCTGATAGCGGCAGCAAGGGGAAAGGGGAAAGCAACTAGTTGACTAGTGTGTCGACTATCCGATAAGCATTTGCTTAGTGGATAGTCGACTAGTCATTCACATCCCTACACAGTATATTTGGGCATGATTTTTTAGACATGCTGAGCATTTTGATACGAGTTGCAAGTAATCAGCTCTATCCAGCTGAATGCACCTTTCTGCAGCAGAAAGCTGTTAAACTACATGTAAATATACTAGTCTTGGGGAAATTCTGCAATTGTTGCATTTAGAGTCATAGTAAAATTGTAGAATTCTCCCAGGAATGATATACCAGCAATGCAAAACCACTACCTAGGAACAGGACAGGTGGTATCCTTGAAATAGACATGTTCTGAAGGATGTGTAAAGAACTTCTGAGAGTGAACAGCCATAGAGACAGATAAGGATTGGTACAGATAAGGATTTTTGCAGTAGGTAATTCTGGACCCATCTTCATGGTGAAAGTGACAAGAATATTGATGTAACTGGGGCCCTATCAAATTCAGTCACAAAAAATGAGTCACAAACTGTGAAATCTAATCTCTTCCTGTGAAATCCGGTGTTTTGTGTGCATTTACACTATACTCCATAGATTACAGGGTGGAGACCAATATTTCTCAAACTGGGGGGCTTGACCCAAAATGGAGTTGAAGGGAGAGGGATAGCAAGGTTATTTCAAAGGAATTTGTGGTATTGCCACTCTTGCTCTGCACAGCCATCAGAGTTGGGTGGTCAGAGTGTGGCGGCTATTGGCCGGAACTCCAACTCTGAAGGCTGAGACAGCCTCCGACAGCATCAGCACAGATGTAAGGCTCACAAGATAGGATATTCCCACCCTCACTTCCATACTTCAGAACTAGGTGGCCAGAGAGTAGCAGCTGCTGCTCTCTAGCTGCCCATAATTTTGAGCAATTTGAAAATTTAAAATAGATTAAAAATAGAAAAATGCTTAAGATGTTATCCATTGAGATTATAAATCAGATTCTATCAAACCTAAACTTGACCCCTCCAGAATTAATTTCTATGAATTTATTAGACACAGAATGGCAGAAGTTTTGCTAAAGTACAAACAAACAGTCCAACACCTATTTTTTTCAGACTGTCATCTAGTAATTAAAATTAACTGGGAGCCACAATTTATGGTTCTTTTCCTGGCTATGTTGCTGACCTGTGGTATGACCAAGGCTAAGTCTTTTTCTTAATATACCCTCATTTACCAATCTGTTAAATGGGGGACACGTGTTTATGTAATTCATCAAGTTATTTGAGGTTTATTCAGTGTTTGAGAATCTCAAAAAGGTTCCATATGAATCCAAATTATTGAAGTACACTTCTGCACAACTGAAAAGTTAGGGGCTTTCCTTGTTTACCTGTAACCTTGTTTTACCTGTTATACTTTACCATCTGTGAATTTTACGGGTATAATATTTTGTTTCAATAATGGTCTGGCAACTATGTTGTGAATCTTCAAAGTTTCTTTTCAGTTTTTTAGAAAGTCAATGTAACAATCACAAATTATATGTTGCAGAAAAGAAATGTGATTTTTTAAAAAATAGTGTAAAATAATATCATTACAAAGGCACATACCCACTCCCGCTTCAGAAATACCTAAAATGAATGGATTTATACAACAACCTATTGAAATGAGTTTTGCTAATGAGGGTTAGCCTGAAGAAACATTTTCAGACATGATCACACAGCCTTTTTTAGCCCTGATGTAACTGCACAATAGCAAACCCCTAGTGCAATCATACAGCACCAGTGTAACTGGTGAAAGCTGTCCTGGTGCAAGTTTTACTGGGTTATACTTCTTCACTATAAACTTAGTCTGTTTGTTGCTTCTCAAGGTGCCACACATGCTCAACTCTCACTGATTTCAGTGCTGACAGTTCTCGTCGTGTTGCAGAATCAAGGTTACTAAACATGGGGTTAGACTTCTCCCCTCATGATCATAGAATATGATATTAGAACTTATCACAAACATCCTGTAAGTTTTAAAAGGATGAGTTATAAGAGCAGTACTTACGGTTGGCATAATTTTACCAGGTCCTGGTCAGTGGTGTTTGGAGGCAGTCCTCTGATATAAAGGTTTGTTTTACTTAATTGATCCCAACCAGAGTTGCTGCTGCTACTGCTGTTGTTATTACTGCTGGTGGTGCTGGGACTAGGAGGAGCCATTGGGTGGGATGGTACAATGGACGGCTGCAAAATAAAGACAGAGCTTATCAGAATGAAATACAGAGTAACTGCAGCATAAACCACTCTGAACATATTAATTCTGTGTATTCTCAATATACCAGTTTTCACCATATTTGGCATGAGATTATTAGGTGTACCCAGAATAAACGCAGATTTAAATTACATATACCCTGTGTTCTATATTACTCATGGGACTATATCCCCACCCTTCCACTGGGTCATTAGATGTAAAAGAAATATGGTTCTAGGTTCTCAGTAACAGATATAAACACAATTTAACTTCATTAAGTTAGTTTCAAACATCATAAAGGAACCAAATGTAACAGGTGCTAAGAAATGTGGTGTTAATTTAGAGCGAGCAAGCACACCAAATATATTAACAGTGCATAATCTACTCACTGCTCACCATTAATTTGTTTAAATTAGGTTCAAGGTTTGGTATACAGAGACTGTAGCCTGTGTACTACCACAGAAAACACAAAATTAAACATTCTTTAATCTTTCATTTTAATAAAAATATAGAGAACAAGGAAAAACAGTTACAGCATTTGAAACAAGTATTAAGTAAGGCTCTAATTTAAAAAAAATGCCCCTTTTCTCTTTAGCTGGAGTTTTTAGAAGAAAAAAATCCTCTTTGGGGGAAAGAGAGAAGAAAGTTAGTTGAGAGGAACTGGAGCTTTTGCTGCTGCTGTTAAAGTTGAACCCCATTTCATCTCACATAGCATCTGGGATTCAGATGGAGCTAGCAGAGGTGCCCATGTCTTTTGGATTGCTCTTTCTTGCCTGATCTGGTCAGGATATCTCTCAGGATTAGGACAAAGATGATCTGGGCTCTCAGAAGACTTGGAGGTGGGGGAAGAGAACAGCCATGATGGTGAATATTACATCAGCAGACTCTGTATGATCTTCTTTTATTTCACCCCAAAGTCTCTTTCTTTAAAAGATGCCCAAAAGGGAGCAATGAGTGGACTAACCCATCTCCCTCATTACTCTGTCCATCAGGTAGGCCTAATATCTGATACATCAACGTGGGGTCCATTCATCCCTGGTTTCACACCCTCGGATATTCCAAAGCATAGTTTTAATATTGTTCTTGATTGTATCAGTGGGCCCTTTTTGTTTGGGTTAACCTAGGTTTTTTTTCCCCCTTCTTTCTGCACTGTTTTCCATCAATATTTGCTATTACAGGTTATTGTGACATCTTATAAACTTTCACATACTTTTTTTTACAGTGAGCTCACAACTACAATAAATTTATACTCCTAAAGACAACAGAATTGTAGAAGCTAAATATTCAATTTCAAAGCAAAACATTCTCCTTTATCACTATTGCCTCTACGTACCTTACAAAGATTGATTTATCACTCACAAGTCCCATGTGTAGAAAGGAAGTATTATGATGTCACTTTACAGAGAACAAAGGAATAGAGAGGTTACAGGCCAGATTTTTAAAAGTGTCAGTGCACCTAAAAATGCAGGTAGGTTCCCAGTGGGATTTTCAAAAGTGCCTGTGTGACTAATTCCTATTGGTTTCAGTGTTTGAGATTTCAGAGGGCTCATATAAATCCAAATTATTTAAGTTTCAGAGGGAGTTAGGCACCAAGGCACAGTACAATCTCCATGGACACCTCTTATCTTTTTTAATAATCTGTCCCTAAGTGACCTGCCTACAGGTCTGTGACGGAGCTGCAGGCCCACTGATAGCAAGGAGGGAAGAGAGAGCAAAGGGGGCAGTTGTGGCAGCTGGCCCCCTTTGAATTGCTG